TTTCTTGTTCTAGGTATAAGTATCCTTTTTGTTTCTATTTTCCTTAAAGCTTCCTTATTGTTCACATGCTCTATCTATGGTATTCATAGCATTCTTCTGTAGAATAAAATCTGTTAATGTAATTTCTTTTTTCTTTTGTCAGTCCAGTGATAGTCATTAATTCCTGTATTCCTAGTCTGCTCCTCCTCTTACTGCTTAGGCACTTATATAGTCTCTATGCCTTAGCTATGCTAATTAGGGAGTCATTTACATATCACTACAAAATCTCTGTTGCCTCAAGTCTTCTTTTTATTTGTGAGGAAATTGTATAATTATTAACTCTCATGTTGGAGAAATGATATTACATTGCAGTTCAGCAGTTCAATTTTTTTGTTTCCAGTGAGATCACTTCTTTATAATTTTTAAATATTCAGAGCCAGGGCCAACACGTCTTACACCCAAAACCCTCAACATAGGGTGTTTTTTGGAGGGTCCTGTTGTGGTCTCTGCCATTTTTTTTCAGCACTGTTTTATGGCCATCCAGCCTGTGGGCTCTGGCAAAGTCCACAAATCTTTAAACCTTGTGGACTGGAGCTACTGAATCACAAAGAAAGAACTATATGAAATAACAGAAACATCACAAGGGCTTTCAACAGTAGCAACATCTAAAATGGATATCACATGTAAGTCAAAGAGAAAAATAAGAACATAATCAAGATGTTAACATTCTACACGATGCCAAATAAAATGTCAGGAAGGAAAACTCCATCAATACTGGAAAAAGGTACCACAGTTACTGGATTCAAGAAACCTATTTTCCTGAAGAATCGTTTTGAAGAAAAAGATTTTATAAATTTCAACTGTCAGCAATACTGTTTTCTTGGTCAATTAATACTGAATGTTCTTTTATAAGGAAATGGCTAATATTACTATTACCTTATTAATACACTGTGTATCATCTTTGGTTACTAAAATAGAAGCATGCATGAGGAGAAAAATGTTAAAAATCAGAATTCTCAGACACACCTGTGTCCTTTCTAAGCCAAAAAACATCATTATTATTACTATTATTATTATTATTATTATTATTATTCTGTCTATTTTAAATTTCTTTCATTGACCTTCTATATCTATATATTGTAAGATGCATACATGGACACTATTTCTTTTAATATATATATATATATATTAAAGAAATATTGTCCATGTATGCTTCTATATATATATATATATATATATATATATATATATGCTTCTTGTATATATATTATATCTTGTATATATATGCTTCTTGTATATATATTATATCTTGTATATATATGCTTCTTTTGTATATATATATATATATATATATATATATATATATTGTATATATATATTGTGTATATATATATATATATATATCTTGTATATATATATATATATATATATATATATATATATATATATATATATATATATATATATATATATATATATATATATATATACATATCTTCTATATTTCTGCATACAGAAAAATGGTAGAGCCTCTTTCCTCTTGACTTTCCTGAGACCAATAAATATGCAGATCAAATTTGTAAATAAAAAGTGTTTATTGTGAACAGACAAACAAAGTCTTCCTAATTTTATATATATATATATATATATATATATATATATATATATATATATATATATAAATTATACAATCAAAAAAACTGTTTTATTTGTTACTGGCTTGAAAGAAAAAGGCTTTACAATGACACACTTAGCCTAGCACTAGTTTTGACCTTGGAGATCCAATTTTTGTCATTCACATTCCTTAACATAGATCATAAAATTCCAAAATACTATATTACTGGAATGTAACATAATTTTACCAAAAGAACACAAAATAAAGTCAGAAGGAATGTATTTTCTTTAGGACTTGATTCAACAAATTCAAACTTGATAATGAGATTAGAATTAAGAATTTGTTACTGTTCATTTTTAAATGATGTTGAATTATTCTATGACAAATAAGTTTTATATTATCTTTAATTTTGATCAAAGAATGATTGATTTTTATCATATTGTATTCCTTTAGAGCAGTGATTCTCAATCACTGTACTGTGGCACACTAGTGTGCAGCTTGAACCTCTTTGTGAAATATTGTCACAGCATGCATATATATGTGTGTGGATGTTTGGATTTCAATACAAAAGGAATATCCAACATTAGCTAAAAAGACTTTATAAGTTTTATTACAATTTTCTACTTATTTATGTGAATTATGCTTCTCAATCCTAAATAACATCAAAAATAAGAAGCAAGAAAGACTACACTCAACTGAAGAAATGAAGGTCTGCTTATTGCACATTCGACCAAACATTGAAGAAATTGCAAAAAAAAAAAATCTCCAGGCACATGTTTCACACTAAATAAATTGCGCAAATATAGTGTGTGTATTTTTTAAAATCTATGGTTTCATTTCATAACATTTAAATGCATTGTCTTTAAAAATTTTGCTAAGTGTACCGTGATATTTTCATTTGCTCTGAGATGTGGCATTCCTTAAAAAGGTTGAGAAACACTGCTTTAGAGATTTGTTTTGGTCATATTGTGTTCATTTAAAGTAAACTGAGTCAGAATCTGGGTTAAATTTACATAAAATAAAATAGAAAAGTAGCTTACCAGAAAATACAATATTTCACATTATATAATATGTACAATATTTAATCAAATTTCTTGCCTTAAAAAATCTTCACAAATGATAGATTTTTCATTGCACTAAAGGAAACATGTCACATGACCATAGCAAGTGAATTTGAAATTAAAAAGTTTTGAAAGTTTTATTTTGAAAGTTTTTATTTTTTTTTTAGCTTAAAATTAGAATGCATTTTATATGTGCATGTGTAAAATGTATGAACTACATTTTCATGCATATTCAGATCAAAAGTTTGGTTCATGATCAATGAAAGTTCTTTGTTTAAGATTTTTATTTTTTTTTTGGTAATTCACATCATTTTCCAAAGAACTTTCATTGGTCTTCAACTAAACTTGTATAAATTCAAAATTACAGCTTAAATACACCAAACTCAGATCAAAATTATACACTGAAATTATATCTATTTTTTTTTCATAATAAAATTTTAAATACTTTTGTACATTTTACTTCCAGTTAAATTAATCAGTCTGGTTCAGATCTTTATTTAACAAGAATAATTTTACAAGGTTGATAATTCTACCTGTACTAGGTCAGGATTTTACATTTCAGTGTCTAGAATATCTTAACATCGCAGCTTTCTGTTAGACCATATAATTATGCTAATTTCTTAAATGAAGGATTATTGTCTTTCACCTTTCTCCCCAAATTCAGTATCAAGGAAAGTTATTCTCTTGAAAGCAAAATTATAAAGGACAAGGAAAGTTATTCTCTTGAAAGCAAAATTATAAGTGTGCATTTCATTGTTTCATATTTGTTTTATTATGATATAAAAGATACTAAGAATTTCTTTACTCTATATTTTTAAAAAGAGCTGTTGCATTATGGGAGCAATCAAACATTAAGGTATTATTATATTAAAACTAGCAGTATAACACGTCTTCAACCAGGTGTTTCATTACTGGGAATTTTTGCCATTCAATTGAAGTAGTTTAAATTTAAAGTCAACCCCACTGAAAATCAATATTAGTAACAACAATTGGGTGCAACTGAGGCACATCCCCAAATGGGGGGGTTAACAATTTGCATTTGTGTTCTTAATCTTGCAAGAAAGGAACCTGTTTCATGAACTATCATAATAATAATATATGATAATTTTTATTTATAATATAATTTTTTTTTATAATTTTAATAATCTTTTGCATTAGATTTCAACTTTCTAAATTGACTGTACACTGTTTTATACAGATATTAAATTTTTCCTTTGATTTTTGTGCAAAATGTAAAAAAAGAGTTTTTTCGATTTTTCATCTTCAAAGTTGTAATTTTTTGGACTCAAAAACTGGCACTGAAGAATTATTTGTCAAACAAAAAATATTTCATCAAAATCAGATGAAAACTATGGAAATGCATAAACATCATCCAGTCACACACATATATACATACAGACACACATTTTGAGAATTATAGATATAGATAAGAGATATGCCTTTTTTGATAATTGATTGTTTTTTATCAGGATAAAATATGAGTATAATTTTAAAAATAGACAACAAAAAAAAAACATTTTTTTAATTATAACACTATCATCTTCAAGAACCATTATAAAAATAGGAGTAAAAAAAAAAATTTCTAAGCTAGCCAACATTCAGTGGAGAAAACAATAGTCAATATAAATTTTTGAAACAAAAACTATGCTTTTTTTTACTGATCTTAATAAAATCATGAAAAAATGTCAATTGCAGTAACATTATAGTAGGATTTTCTACTATAGTTCAAAGATAAGGTCCTCAAATGAAATATATTTCCAATCTTTATTTAATAGCATAATGATTTTCTCAAAATAAAAACAAAATGTAAATCATTTTATTTGAAATTGTATCCTTTTTTCAAGACAAATATAATGTGATTACTACTTTTAAGTAATTTTCCTGTGAATCTCAGTTATATTTATCAAAATAAAAGCTGTTGGTTGAATGTCATTAATTCAATTAAACAATGGAATTTTCAGACATGGAAAAACATTTACTTGATATTTCTAACTTTTAACTTTACAATGAGCACTGAGAAAATTGAATCAAAAATTGTCAAAGGAGGTTCAGATATTTTGCCTTGAAATACTGGAGAAAAAAATATAATTAGTGAATAAAATTTTGGAATTCAGTCAGAGATGTTACAAGTGTAAAGTTGAAGTAAATTTCAAAAGGAACCAAAAACCAAACCTAAACAGAAATCAAGGGATAAACCTCTACTCCTGTTCAAAAAACTGGGGAGAATAGGCAAACCTATTTTATTAATTTATGAAATCTTATGAATAAACAAGTAATAATAAAAGAATAATGATGTTTTTGCTCTTTAAAAAGTTATTTAAAAAAAGTATTTCAAGATAACTTACCTTGGAATAAAAGTAAAGTGCCCACAAAAAAATGTGTCCAAAATATATTCATAATGACTTCTTGTTGAATTACTCCCAAATTCAAACAGAAAAAGTATTATCCAAGTAACAAATAAGAAATTTTAAGGTTAGATTTGTATAAACATTTCTATAATAATTCAAAGATACTAATGTAAATACTGTCTATTTTTTGATAATGATCTGTTATTGATAACTTTCTCTTCTTTTTAAAACTAAAGTCAGAAGCAAATATATTTCTTCCTTTTCTTTCCAGCTTCCATTTTAAAAATTATCTTCTTATGCTCTTCATGGATCTTTTTGTCAGAGTTAAAGAAAACAAAAACTATATAACAGAATCACTAATGAAAGATTCTGTTGTTCCCTTAGTTTAAAGCAGTGAATGTGAATACTGTTGAAACTTGTGTCATGATCCACTTAACTTCATTCATGTGATTACTTCATGGTGTGTGGCATAAGTCAGTATCAGTGTTCCTCAAATCCAGTGTGTGTGACCTCTCAGTATTCAGAAATTGTACTGAGTCTCTTTAAGCTTTACAACTTTCTTTTGTTTAAGCTCATGTATCAGGTTTAACACAGAGGAATTCAATTTCTTAAAAAAAGTCTCATGTCCTGTATTTTATTTTCTGTGCGGACTACCTTAATACCAATAAAAAAAAAACAACGGGATTATTTATGCATAGATCAACATTTCTGTATAGAATATTTACACATTCTCCCTTAGGAAAGTGTTACTCACCAATGGTATATGTGAAATTTGTGAAAGGTATTATAGTGGGTTATCAGTTATAGTGAAGTGTATGAATGTTGAAACAGATTAGTTTGATTTTGCTTTGTTAGTTAGATAGCCCACTATAAGAGGGGTATAAAACAAGAAAATCAAATTGCAAAGTGAAACAAAAAATTTATATACATATAAATCAATTAAGGTCTTTACAAATAAAATTAATGTATTTTGGTTGATACAAGGTCGTCAAAATGTTCGTAGTAGTCCTTGCAAGAAGGAGTTTATGTGTATATAGGAATGAACGTACGTGTGGATGTATGTATGTATGTATGACCATTATCGAAGGGTAGGAATGTCTTTGAAGTATTGCTCAATCTTAAAATGTTCCATTTGTTTATCAAGTATAAAAGAGGTGATGGAGAAAGGTAGAGATAATAATAGCGATCGCTTGACGTTTGTCAAGGGACGTGATAATATGCTTGTCTCCTTCTCTCTGGTGACAGGCGAACTTGCCCGTCTTTTATTTTGTTTGTGGGGCTTGAAAAGGTCATTTGGGAATTCACTCCCGGATATGATTTGGGCCTTTCCATTGGATGACGAACAAACTTTGTGTTGGCTTGCGAAAAGGTCTGTAAAAGAATTTTGTTTCTGAGAATTGAAGATTATTTGAATTTTGTTTTTAAATGTTTTCTAGTTTTCTATTGGCTGAAAACATTTTTGCACCAAGGTGTGAAATTTCATGTGTTTTGTTTTGGATTCGCTTTTGCGTGTGTCTTAAGCAAAGTTTGTAAATTCAAGTCTTTTTAATTTCTAACAAAATCCATGAGTCAGTGCTTAGCATTTGAATTTTAAATCTAGATCTTGTTTCGTCCACTACAGTGTCATATACACACAGATATGCTAAAAGTCATAGGACATCAGGTAATTTAAAATTGTGAAAATATCTGACATCTATCAATCTACATGTTGTGGCCTTATCAGGGGTTGGAAATAAAGACACAAAGAGAGGAATTGAGTTAAACAAATAAATTAACAGGAACAGTTAATACAAGCATATACAAACGAGCAAGAATGTTTGGTCCAACTGTCAGAGCTGACTGCTGGAAACTACACTCTCTAAAAAGCAGCACTTGCTCTTATTTATAATTGGGAGAGTCTATGCATGCAAATCCCATCCACATCCAATCCAGCAGGTTAACTCAATATTCATAGGGTATAGGAGCAGTAACACAATCTGGGTGTTCCTGTTAATGCTACAAGTGTACCACATGTGCACTCTATAAAAGGTGTCACACATTGATGTGCCTGTACCAAAAGTTCTGGAATAAAAATAATGGTTGGTGGTGTCACTATAGTTTGACATCATGAAAATGTCTAAATCTCTATTAGTTGTGCTCTGATGCCTGATGAATCAATGTGATCACCAGCAAGACAACAGGAATGATCAGTGTTCAAATGGGGCATTGTCAGATGCATTTCTGAAATTATGGGAACATTTGCCATTCATCAATCTATAATGTCACATGGAATATAGGAGCAGAAGATCCATCAGCATGGTCCTTTTTAACACCATGACACCAAATACCACATTTCATCTAGACTTGTCACATCATTAATTAAATCCTAGAAAACTGGCAACATGTCACATGGTTTGATGAGTCATGGTTCAAATTTTTCTTTATTTATTAATGGCTTCCATCTGTATTTATTTCTATGTTAGGCCTACTGTTATGGAGTAAATAAAACACCCCTGGTAACACAAATGAACTAGGCAAGATGCCTTAAATAAAGAACTAAAAGTGAATCAGTAGAAATTTGTTGGAGTCAGTTGAGTAGAAAGAATTGATAACATCATGGCAAGTAGCCTAAGCAAAATATAATATCATAACTGCTAGGAGTTAGTTATAAGTGACGACGAGGGATCAAAACTCATATGGAGTAGGAAAAAGTACTTTTTGCTTTGGCACACATGATAACAGTGATGATGAGAAATTAGAACCTTGTTGGTTTAATTTTTTTATTTGGTATGTGTAAAAAAGAAAAAAAAGAGAAAGAAGAAAAAATGGATATACTTTAAATATGGAAGAATTATTAGCCCAAGTGGTAAAAATACAGCAACAACAGCAGTTGTTGGAACTCCAGAAGCAACAACAAAATTTAATTGAAATAATACAGAAGAAAATGGAAAATTCCTCAAGTTCTTTCACCCCAGATACCATGGCAAATGCCATAGCTGAATTTACACACGTTTCAGATAATGGAATTACCATCTCTGCTTATTTTAGAAGATACACACAAATTTTCAGAGAAGAATGCAGCGACTGGGAAGATGAGAAAAAAACAAGGCTTTAGTTGAGAAAGTTAGCACTAGTAGAACGTGAAAAATACTGTAATTTTGTACTATTAAAAAAAAAACAGGAGAAATTTGCTTTCAAGAAACAGTAAATATTCTGACTAAAACTTTCAGTGAGAAAAGTTTGTTATTTGATGCTTGTTGGAAGTGTATAAATCTGAAGAAAAAAGAAAACAAAGATTTTGCTATATATGCTGGAATTGTTAACAAGGAGTGTGAAAGATTTAAATTAAACGAACTGACTCCGGATATGTTTAAAGGGTTAATTTTTGTTCAAGGGTTAATGGTGAAAAAAGATGCAGAAATACATGCTAGAACTCTAGTGAACCGTGAACAGAATCAAAAAGTAACACTACAAGAAATATCGAACGAATGTCAGAGAATCCTAAATTTGAGATGCAACAGAGAAGAAAATGAAGAAAAAGAATGCACAAACATACAATCTAAAGAAAAATGTGGAAAAAGAAAAATTTATTTATGTTTCAGATGTGGAAGTTTACAGCTTGGAGACAACTGTCCCTTTAAGTGTTACAAGTGTGGAAAAGTAGGACATAAAAGTCACACTGTAAAACTATAGCAAGGAAAAGTTCTCACAGAAAGAATTTTGTACACACCATTGCAAAGGAGAAAATAATTACAGAAAACCAAAGGAAATGTGTGTATGTGAAAATTAATAATGTGGATGTAAAAATGCAACTGGACATTGGTAGTGAAATCACAATAATCAATGAAACTACATGGAAAGCAAACAGAAATCCTATGATAAAAAGAACTTCAAAAATTGCATGTGGTGTGTCGGGCAAGAAATTATTTTTTATTGGTGAAATAACTTGTAACATTTCATTTCATAACAAGTGTGTAAGGCTTATGTGTTAAAAATACTACAAATCTATTCAGTACTGACTGGTTGGAATTATTTGAGTTGTGGGATTTACCTATAAATATTTATTGCAAAAATGTAAGCAGACAAGGTACCAGAATAAAAAACAATGTGAAATTTTAAATGTTTCTATCAGATGAATTGGGTTAGTGTTCTAAAGTCAAAGTGAAATTTCCAGTGTTTAAACCGAAACGTAGTGTACCATTCACAGCATTGGATCAAGTCAACGAGAAATTAGACTAAAAAATAGATGTAATTAAAAAGATTGACCATTTAAAATGGGCAGCACCAACAGTGTATGTAAAGAAAAAAAATGATAACATTCAGGTTTGTGCTGATTTTTGATTAGGCTAAACAAAGGTTTAGAATCACATAACTACCCATTACCAAGTCCAAAGGAAATTTTTACAAATTTAAATAGTGGAAAATTTTTTTCAAAGTTGGATATTTCTGAAGTGTATTTGCAAATACATGTTGAAGATGAATGTTCAGAGTTAATAACTATAAATACACACAAGGTATTGTATAAGTTCAACTGTCTTCCTTGATGATGTTATGGTGAGTAGCCTAATATCATAACCACTAGGAGTGAGTTATAACACCTACTAAGTACTAAGTTATTACTAAGTACTTAGTAGGTACTTAGTAATAATATGTAGTGTTATAAAATAAAATCAGACATATCTCAGCTGATTTACAGGCAAATACTCAAGAGCAAGAACCGGATGTGAACGGGACAAAACCCTGTCACAAAATGACCATTATCTTCATTTACAAATATTCCCGACACATGTGTTCCAGTCGAAAAATAAAATAATATTTAAAGTGTTCTATTTTTCATCCAATAAAAATGCTTCCCTCCTAATTATACTCGCTTCGTTTTTCAAGCCTGTTAAGCCATAAAAAAACGCTATAAAAGGGGTCACACGGAAGTTCAACAGGCAGTCCACAGGTGGCCAGGGAACAGACCTGTCACGGTCAGTAGCTGTCAGCAGGGGAGCATCAACCACCATCAACATGTGTAAACTACTATGAGAGATCGACCTAGATCCAAAGCCGGCTTATGAACTATAC